TTTGCGTCTATCTGCTTGTGTGCCCCAGGGCCCCTTCTCCTAGATGTCGAGCGCAAGGCAGCAAAAAACATGTGGGAAGTGGTGGGAAGACGGAAACCCAGAAGTCATGGGAAACTGTGGGGTGATCCTGCTATGTGTGTGTCTACCTGCTTGTGTGCCCCAGGGCCCCTCTGCGCCCTGTCTCCCGAATCGAAGCTGTGCGGAGCCCGTCTAACTTTTAGCGGAAGAGGCTCGCTCTCGCCCCGCCGACCTGAAAAGTGTCCCAGGGCCCCTTCTCCTAGATGTCGAGCGCAAGGCAGCCAAAACTAGATGTCGAGCGCAAGGCAGCCAACAACTCGCGGTCGGGCGCTGTTCTGGGGCGGCGTGCCGCGCTCCCCGGCGCTGGCCCACCGCGCCTCCTCGGCGCGGCACGCGCCGGCCACGGCCCGGCCCCCGGGCGTCGACGCAGCGAGCCGTCCCCTCGGCACGAGGCGGGGGCCCCCAGACGCTGTTCAAAAGATGCCAAAAATATGTTTTTTGTTTTTTGTATAATGATAATACTAATAATAGTTATTATTATTATTATTAATAATAATAGTACGAATAATCAGAATAAGAGTAGTAGTAGTAGTACTAATAATAATAATAATAACCATAACAATAATAGTGCTGATCATAATAATAAAAATAATACTAATAATAACAATGGTTATTAATAATAATAATTTCTATATAAAAAGTTCCCATTTTTATACTATTTTTGAATACTCCCCCTGTAAAGGGGCAGGCCCGACTTCATGATAGTCCAACATCGAAAAAGATAGGGGGCCCCCAGACGGTGTGGCGACAACACCGTGCCGTGAGTCCGTGGGGATTCGGGCTCGCCGCAGGGTTTTGGGACCCGAGTCGTTCTCCGAGGACGTCTCGGGCGACAGGCGCCTCCCGGGTCCCAACACCGTGCGTTGACGGACCGTGCGGTCAGGCCCGAGGCGATTTCGGAGTCACCGCACGGTCTGTCACCGCACCGTTTCGGGACTCCAAGACGAACGAAATGGGTGCGGAAGAATGGGTACACTGCCCAACAGCAGTGCCTGCTCATTTTGAACAGGATTCGCTGTCCGCGCCGCCGCGGCGGGCGTCCAAAACTACCCTTAGGTCGGGTGTGTCCCTCTGCAGGAGGAAGACTCGAAAATAGGCAAGAAATAGTGTGGAGACGATTTTCATTATTTTTGAATATGTTTGAACATGTTTGCTCGTATGTTTCATTTTTCTCCCAAAATCCGCCTGTAGGGGGAACATCTCCGACCTAACACTACCCCCTTCCCTGCGTCACCGTAACGGGTACCCGCCAACGGGTGCACTGGAGATTTGCCGACAGTTGCCACTTTTGGGCCTCTTGCTGGCATTGCAGGGTTGCCTTCATCGGGGAAGGGGTTGGGTTCGCGGGGTCACTGGCCAAAGGTACCCGTTGGTGGAGTCCCCGCTAGAGGGGCGCTGAACTCCTGCGCCCCCTGCACCAGTGATCCGACAGCGTGCACGGTCAAGGCGCTGAAACAAGGACCACTTTGTGTCCGTTTTCTGATTCATTGTTTCACCGATCGGCGCGGGCCCTCGCATCATCATCATCATTATCATCATCATCATCATCATCATCATCATCATCATCATCATCATCATCAGCATCAGCATCAGCATCAGCATCAGCATCAGCATCATCATCATCATCATCATCATCATCCATCCTCCATCCTCCTCCTCATCCTCATCCCCTCCCTCATCTCCTCCTCCTCTCCTCCTCCTCCTCCTCCTCCCCTCCCCCCTCCCTCCCCCCTCCCCCTCCCCCTCTCCCTCCCCCTCCCCCTCCCCCCCCTCCCCTGGAGTAGATCTTGGCTGTCTCCCGCGCCTGCTTCGAGCGGGTGGGGTCCCTCTCCCATGGGACGCACGGTTGCAAACAGTCGCGCTAAGCAGAGGCCCGGGGCCAGACCCCCTCCCCCCCCGCCCCCCCCCTTCCCGCCCAATGTCGAAACGCCAAAGACAGACCCCCCCCCCCTTTCCCCCCTTCCCGCCAGTCGCCCCCCCCCCCCCAGACCTTCCCCCCTTCCCCTCCCCCCCCCCCCTCCGCCCCCCCCCCCCCCCCCCCCCTTCCCCCCCCCCCTCGCCCCCCCCCCCCCCCTTCCTTCCCGAATACGAGAACGTCACTCTGCGCTCACAGGGGGGCTCTGGTCGGGGAACCCCTTCGAAGCCGAGAGGCTCGCCGTGGCAAGAGAAGCCCCCGCGTTCCTTCTTCAGCGTTTCCCTCTGTAGCACGATGGCTGCACGGTCAAGTCGGGCCTGTCCCCCTCCCCCCCAAAAATATAGATTCAAAAATGGACAAAAAATACTCCAAAAATCGTCCCCCTACTTTTTTACTATTTTTGAATATTCCTCCTGTGGACCGACGTAACTGTACGGTCAGGAACGCTCGCATGGCGAGTCACCCGCGCCGGTTCCGGCGCACTACGCATCGGCGCGGCACGCTAAATGCACGTCCCCATTCCCAAGCGTCGACGTCCCGAGCCTCTCCTGGCCCCCCGCCCCGCGGAGCGGAGAGACACGCTTGTTGCTCGCACGGCACAGAGTGTCGCCACTGCCGCGGCACGCTAAGCTAAGTCGGGCCTGTCCCTCTGCAGGAGGACTATTCAAAAATAGTGTAAAAAATAGTCTGGGGACGATTTTTCACGTTTTTTTTCATATTTGTCCTCCAAAATCCCCCTGTAGGGGGACAGGCCCGACCTAACGCTAAGCAGAAGATCCCGACCGTGCGTATGTCTAGGCCTCCTGGATGGGGTCCGAGTAGATGGGGTCGGTCGATCGCGCGGCATCGCTGTTACATCGGCGATGCGATCCGATGTGGAGCCCGGTCTTCTTCCAGCCGACAGCATCGCCAACGTCGCCGGTGCATCGCCAGTGCATCGGCGATGCATCGACTATGCGGCGCGATTCTCCGACCCCATCTACTCCGACTCCCTCTGGGAGGCCTCTAATGTGGGGCGTTCCTGACAGTCGAAGGAGTTGACATCTCGTCACTGACGGAAGGCCGGCGGAGGGCGGTGGATTTCAAACGGGGGCGGGTCCGCCCGCGGAAGCCAGCAGAAGGCCAGCAGAAGCAACCAATGCGTCCCCGACAGATGACAAGATTTTGTGGTCCAGGGTCTCCAGAACAGGCCATTTTTTATATCTCTAAGAAGAAACGGCATAAACATAAACTTTTGGCGCTCCGCGCGGATTTCTTGGACCCGCGCTGGGCCCGCCTGGCGGCGCCTCCGGCGCCGCCCCTGGCGCGCACCAAAGAATGTTCTAGGAGCCTGGTGCGGTTTACACCACATGTTCTCAGAACAGTTCTGGCTGAGATCCTCTAGCTGGGTAGTCGAAGGCCAGACTGTCAGATTGGATTGGGCCCCAAGGGCCAATCTGGCCTGGCCAAACTGGATGATTTGGGTAATTCGCCAGACTGGATTCGCGTTGGCTCCCTCGCCAGATTGCCCCCGTTTGCCAGATTGGGCCTGCCAGATTGGCGCCAGATTGGCTTCGACTACCCAGTCTAGTGCGGGCGCGGGCCGAAATCCCGGTCGGTGTGAAGTCGAATTGGAGGTGCCGCGGTCGGCGTTCCGGGGGGGAAGCGCGGCGGTGTCGGGCAGGTTTGGGGGGCAGGTTCGGGGGACCCAGAGGGGCTCCAAGCCTTCAGGTTCCCCGCTCCAGCCCCTGCGACGAGCGCAGACTTCGAAAATTCCGGCCCACGCATATAGATAGACATATTTATAGTTACATGTATATATGTGTGTAATCATACAAATATATACATCGATCATGAAAATGTAATAAAGTAGCCGATCATGAATAGAGATGGTTGCCCCAAAATGACCACACGTAATTGTGGTACCCTTGAACTCTTGATCTTCTTCTTAATCCGCATCCTCATCCTCCTCATCTTCGTCCTCCTGCTGCTGCATCGTCTTTATCCTAGTCCTCTTCCCCATTTTCATCATCCTCGCCTTCGTGGCCATCCTGAATATCGTCCTCCAGTCCCTCGCCTTGCTCCTGATCTACACGTCGCCCACATTTCCTCCTGCTCCGTCCTCGTCCTCGTCCTCTTCCCGACCCCATATCAACATCCTTCTCCTCCTCCTCCTCCTCCTCCTCCTCCTCCTCCTCCTCCTCCTCCTCCTGATGATCATCGCCCTTCTCCTCGTCATGTTGCTGATACCCACATTCCCCTGCTTCCATCCTCCACGGTTCTCGTCATTATCTTTCTAATCATCCATACTCCCCCATCCTCCTTCTCACCCTCTTCCTTCGTTCCATCCTCTTTAGGTGAGCAGGAGGAGATTGACGAGTCGCGCCTTCTCATCCTTCTCTTCCTCCTCCCACCACCCCTCCTCATCCTATTCCTCCTCCACCCATCGCTCCTCCTCCACCCATCGCTCCTCCTCCTCCTCCTCCTCCTCCTCCTCCTCCCCCTCATCATCATCATCATCATCATCATCATCATCATCACCACCACCACCACCATCATCATCATCATCATCATCATCATCATCATCATCATCATCATCATCATCATCATCATCATCATCATCATCATCATCATATCGACATCCCTCCTCCTCTGCCGCCTCCTCCTCTTCTCTCGTCACTCCCATTTCTTCTATGGGGAGAGGAGGTGGGCGGGGAGTAAGGGTGCGTGTAAGGATGAGCAGGGCATAGCTTGTATTGTCGCGTTCTCGCTGCTACAAGGCACCACGATCCAGAAAGACCTGAACCTATTGCGACTGGGAGCTCGGACGAATTTGGACGCACCTTGCATACGCAGGCTCCCCACCAGTGCTGACTCACTCGAAGCGTTCATGTCCGAACATGTAATCTCCCTGCGTCTGTTGCCCGCTGATCTCTGCACGTCGCAGCTGGCAATCAGCAGGCGTGCCGCAGCAGTCCATCGAGAAGCCCGTTTGCCCCTGACCTGCTCGCGTCTCGCGCCGCGCCAGGAGACGAGCAGGTGCTGGGACCTGTACACGCGCCCTTCCGTCCGGCCCGCCTCGGACGAGTCGGTGCCCGTGTTCCCCCACGGTGTGGGAGGCCGCCCGTCAGCACGAAGGGGACTCTGGAAGGGCTGCGCCTCGCTCGCATGGCGCGCTTGCTTGGCATCGCTCGGGCGTGTGCTTTTTTTTTCTCGGCGAGCACCATCGAGGACCATCCTGGACCATCGAGCAAAAAAACACACGCACGAGACCGAAAAATGCACGGGAAACGGACGTCCGAGCGACGGCAAGCTTGTCGCGAGTCGGAGACAGGCGCCAGGCCGTGTGCCAACTCTGTGAGGCCTGCCTGCTCTCAGCCGCGCGGCCCCAGTTGCCTCAGTTTCCAACTGCCTCGCCAGCCCTTCGCCGCGCCCCATCGCCGCACAGTCCGCGCGAGGTTCCGCTGCCCCCTCGGCCTCGTTCTCCCCCCCGCCCCCTTTGCGTCAGGGTTGGGCGTCCTCGGCGTGGAAGCTCACTCGTGAGGGCAGGAGGTCAGCGAGACCTCGGACACCTCGTTGCGCTTCGCGTGCCCCCGTCACGCCATGCATGAGCGGAAGCTGGAACGTATACACCACCAGTGGCGGGGGCTGTCTTTCAATCCCAGGACTTTGAGGATCGGGGACGACATCGGGGTGGTGTGGTGTATACTTTTTGTCCACGTTTTCCCGGGGAAACAACGGAGAATGTATACACCAGGATCCCGTATACACCAGGATCCGTTTTCCTGATCGAGTTACAGTGCGGGGCCAGAAGGAGTGTCGATGATGAAGTTCGGCTCTTTACATGGCCATCTGGGGGGTCAGCGTTGGGCCGTCTGAGACACCTCTCACGGAATCCCGACCCCCCCGGGCAGGGCTCTCCCTCCTAAAGCAGGTCAGCGTTTCCATGCGGCGACGTGGCCGGGGCCTGCGTGCCCTGGGTCCCGTCTTAGCCTCGGCAGGGCACGCAAAACAGGGCAAGAGACGGCGAGACAAGGCGCGACGTGTGGGTCGCCTTGACCTCCATGCTGGCCTCCGAACTGGGCCCAGAATGGGACCGAATGGGGGCCTCAAGATGACCCCAAGATGGGCCCAACGACTCCACGAGGACCCCAAAGCGCCAACAGGGCCCCAGCAAGACACTCGCGGCTGGCCAGAAGCGGCCGCCGCACCAGATTGCCACCCACCCGGCCCAGGCGACTTGTGGCGCACGGCGTGCTCCCTTCGCTCCTGCTGCCAGCCCGGCTGCTGCTGCTCCGGCTCGTCCTCGTCTCCCTCCTCCCCCGCCTCGTCCCCTTTCTCGTGCCCCCCGCTCCCCTCTCCCTCCTCCTCCTTCCCCTCCCGCCCCGCACTCCTTCGCCCGTCCAGCGCCCCGTACATACGGTGTGAAGACCCATGCCAAGATATACCCTGCTTGTCTCCAGGGTGCCATAATTGGGCTTCCTGGTTTTCGATGGTTTTGCGACTGAAAGCGTGACGTCCCCACACCAAAGTCAATGGACGTCCTGGGGACTCGGGGTTGGGTTCCTTGTGGAAGGTTTCCTGTGGACTGGCCTCCACTGCAGCCCGACATCCCGTCGCCTTCTCCGCTCCGCGTAACCAGCCGAAGGGTGCACCCTGCACGGAGCGTCTCTGCACACCGGCACGGCCCCCGACGCTCGGGAGTCTGCGGCTGGTGGGGGGGCATTTGTGTGCAGCGTTTCGGTAGCACCGCCTGCTCGGTCTTGCCAGGTGCTCCCCCGCGCAAGGCGAGGGGCGGCTTGGCCGCCCATCCCCGTGCGTGGAAGATGGCCAGCCCGATCTCGCTCGTGGGGTCAGACAAAGACGCAACGGACGCCCCCAGAATCCCACCAGCCACTGGGGCGCAGGCGGTTTCGATCGCTTCTTCTTCCCATTCGTTTCTTCTCCTTCGGGATCGGGCCTTATGACTGCTCCCGCCCTGAGAGGCGATCCAAAAAGGGTCCTGCCCTTCGGGGACGGAAGGAGTTGTCATCTCTTCCGCGGCGGAAGGTCGGCGGAGGTAAAGCGAGGCTGCCTCCGCCGGCGGAAGCCGGCGGAAGGGCGGCGGGAGGCGGCGGGAGTAAGAAAAAGACGCTTGCCAGGAGATGGAAACGATTCTGGCTTCGGGGCTTCCGATCTCGACCACGAAGCGAACGGATGTGGACAGGAAACGGGTCCCGAGGTTTCTTGCCATGGTCGGGGCTCCCGGGGCTGTCCACGAGCCGCAGGGCGGTCAAGACACGGCTCGGGACGACGAGCTCGTCCTGGAGGGGGAGGAGGAGGAGGAGGAGGAGGAGGAGGAGGAGGAGGAGGAGGAGGAGGAGGAGGAGGAGGAGGAGGAGGAGGAGGAGGAGGAGGAGGAGGAGAGAAGGAGGAGGAGGAGGAGGAGGAGGAGGAGGAGGAGGGGGAGGAGGAGGAGGAGGAGGACGAGGAGGACGAGGAGGACGAGGAGGCGGAGGAGGAGGAGGAGGAGGAGGAGGAGTAAGAGGAGGAAACGAGCACAATTAGCATTGAGCACGATTAGAAATGGACGACGTGTACTCGAGTTCGATGGTTTTCGAGTCCGATTCGATTCGACTTGGGATTCCGATTTTTGGGTGCCGATTTCTTAGTGAAGGCACACTATAGCCTGTCGATTTCCGCCGGTTCGACTCCCCCCGACTCGGTTGCCGGTTTCCGCCGATCCGATTCGCTTCGATCTCCGACTCGACTTACCGATTCGATTCTGGGCTCTCCTGCCAAAAGGTCCCGATGGGGGCAGGTTTTTGTCCCAGACCTCCTCCTCCTCCTCCTCCGCCTCCTCCTCCGCCTCCTCCTCCGCCTCCTCCTCCTTTTCCTCCTTTTCCTCCTCCTCCTCCTCCTGCCAATAGGTTGTTGTCCCAGATCCATGCTTGATAGCCCCGGGGGCCCAAGAGCGGGCCCCGGGGGCCGCAAGCTCGGGGAGAAGCGCCGGGATCGAAAAGCCGTCCTGCCGTCGGGGGTCGGCGATTACGGTAGGAGGCCACAGACGATCAGGAGGGGAAGAAACACACAGACACAATTAATCGTCGATCCCCAGGAAAATATAGGAAAATATGGGAAGTGGTGGGGAAGACAAAAACTCTGAAAATATAATAAAATATGGGGACAATTTTCATTTGTGTGTATTTATTTGTGTGTTTGTGGGCCTCTTCAGACGAATCCTACCCCTCCACCCTTGGACTCACGTCGTCGGGGGCGGAAAAGAGGGGGGTGATAACTAGGGGGGGGGATGTCATGGCGCGGGCCGTGATATCTCCGCAGGTTTCATGGCGCCTCTTCTTATTTCATTACGTCCCAGGCACCCCCGCTGGGCCGCGCACGTGCCGCCGGTCATGATTTGCACCCCCCCCCTCTTGGACACCCCCCTCTTGGCCGCTCCCGCTTACGTCGGGCCTGTCCCTCTGCAGGAGGAATATTCAAGAATAGTCCAAAATTCATATCGGGACGGTTTATTTGGCAGATTTGGCTGCGTTTGAGCATTCTCTGGCTATCCTTTATTTTTCGTCGACAATCCGCCCGTAGGAGAACACGCCCGACCTGACCTTAGACATCGTGGGGTGGTGGGGTAGGGGTAGGATTCGCATGTGGTACACTAAGGGTTCGCATGTTCAGGCGATCGCAAACATGGATCAAGGAGGCGTGGATTAGCGACTTGTCCTGTTTCCAAATCGCGGATTTCCGCCGCCGATCGAGGCGGCACCGGCCGCATCTTGGAGAGAGCACCTCCCCCCATCCATGGATTTGGCGACCGCGCGCCAAATCCGCGGATCGCTAATCCGTGTTTGCGCGCCCCCAATCTACGGGGGGCTGGCGGGGGGATGGCTGGAGCGAAGAATCAAGGCAGGCATGTCCCTCTACAGGAGGAAAATTCAAAAATAGTGAAAACATAGTCCGGGGACGATGTTGGGTGTATGTTCGACCATTTTGGAACAACTATGTTTTATGGTTCGTCCAAAATCCGCCCGTAGGGGGACTTACCCCGACCTAAGACTCGGGTTAGAAAGCCCAAGGTTCGCTTTGTGAATATGTTGTTTCTATGTTGTGGTTTGTCTTATTTCTATGCTGTTATTTGTCTATGTTGTTTTTTGTCTTTGCTGGCGGGGGGCTGGCTGGAGCGAAGCGGCCGCCGGCGGGAGGACAGCGGAAGAGTGAGGTGTCAGATGCAGGCGTTTTCGTGACCGTCGTGATCTGGCTGCTAAGGCGGGCCTGTCCCTCTACAGGAGGATCATTCAAGAATAGTGCGAAAATGGTCTGGGGTGACTATTTTTTAGCATTTTTGTTTTTCTTGTTTTTTAATGAACAAGAAATTATTATGATTATAATAATAATATTATTAATAATAATAATAATTATTATAATAATAATCATAATAACAATAATAATAATGATTAGAATCATAATTATAATACTAATGATAATAATAATAACAATAATAATGGTAATAATAATTCCAAACAAAAAAAGCCCAATATCCCCCTGTAGGGGGACACGCCCGACGCGAACCTTGGGGGGGCCCGGCGGGGGGCCGGCGGGAGCGAAGAGGCCGCCAGCAAAGGGGCGGCGGAAGAGTGGGCCGGCAGATTCCAGGCCTCCCGGGTGGGCTCGGAGCGGACGGGGTCGGAGGATCCCAAACGGTGTGGTGACCACACCGTGCGGTGAGTCGGTGGGGATTCGGGGTCACCGCACGGTTTTGGGACTCGGGTCGTTCTCCGAGGATGTCTCGGGCGACAGAGGCCTCCGGGGGGGTCCCAAGACCGTGCGGTGACGGACCGTGCGGTGAGGTCTTGGGGGATTCCGAGGTCACCGCACGGTCTGTCACCGCACCGTTTCGGGATTCCAAAATGGGGTCGGAGGATCGCGCCGCATCGCCGATGCATCCCTTGTTCAAGGGCGCCCTCGAGGGCGAAGTCATTCGCGCTTCGCGGTTCGGCTCCGATTCCTCCTCGTCCTCTCCTTCTCCCCTGGGAGGCGGCGCGAGGGCGCGATGTCATTCGCACTCCGCGCTCTCGCGCAGCGCGGAGCGCAAAGTTGGGAGCCCTTGTTGTTCAGCTCGAGCCAG